AAAAGGCCTCATTTAAATATGTAAAGACACTGGTAAATATGCACCAACATATGCATACAAGCACTAGATTTCCAAAAGAATTAGGGACACTTCTATTTCACCTAGAGGAGCTTGTTGGATAGCTCATCCCAAATATCAGGGCTTTCTGAAAACTTGCCGTAAGGTTTTCTATAATAACAAATTACTTAGAATGACTTTGTATGCTGTTGCATTAAAAGTACCCTTAACTAGAAACACCACAGCTCCATTTGGAGGCGTGTCCACAAGTCTGGCCATAAAGTATAGAAAACAAAAGCCTGTGCCGATCATGCAGACTGGAGGGTGGTAGGAGGTAAGAAAAAAGTCGCCAAGGAGAAGCAGTTTCAGCTATGACATTAGGGTGAGTTAATAAAACATTTGGCCAACATAGCAGGCTAAATTTTTAAGTTGATAATTTTGTATGGCCCACAAATGTTATAAATATACAAGTGGCCCTGCTCTGGAGCAACACGTAAAAGGCACATTCATTACATGAATTTCACTAGGGCCAATTTGAAATAAGGTCACCCACAGTGGTGCTCGCATATAAAGTCACAGCCCTCTACCCTGCAATCCATTTTCTCCATATTACAAATGGAAGTGTCAAACTGCTACCCAATGCATCACAGGAAACCCCTTTTATTATACAAGTATTTTAGAAAGACACAAGTTGGATAAGCAATGACACTGGAAAAACAGCTTGTTCTAAAATGTGCAAACCGATCTGTAAAGAGTAAGAAATGTTGTTGCACATCTATCACAGAGATAATCTGCCAGTCTGTACAGCTATCAAATGTTCCTTACACTGTCTGAAGGCCACGGCATCTTGCCTTGGTGATAAAACAGACAGCTGATGGATAGCCATTGCCTTTTGCCATTCTGCATCTCTGAAATAAGAGTCAGGGCAGCACCAGCTCCTGAAAGGACGGGAACATTAGAATGTGCAGCTGTTTTACTTCTCTCAGGTAACCGTGCCTGTGCGTTTTGTTCTCTTCATTCTTTTCCCAGACACCGAACAGACAGCTCACAATGAGGCAAACATCAAACCGAATCCAATCTTCTCTGCCTGATGGCTGGTGGATGGGAATTGCAGTGTAATCTATTCTGCTATTGGACACAAACTAGTGCTAGCTAAAAACTCCCAACTGTAGCCACTGCCATCTGTCACACACCCAAGATGTTTTTATACAAATGACAAAATGTCACTACCAGCTTTAATACTACCAATGAAAAGGATTGGCCAGATATTCAAATGTGAAAAGGAAAGTTGTATACAGTAAAGGAACTGAATTGTCAGATTGCTACATACAGAGTGACCCATAAAACCTGCAAGTGGTCCTGGAATCCTAGGGACAGAATATATGGAGAAAATGTAGTTACCTGCCAGGGATCCCCTCAACTTCTTAGCCAAGGGGAAAGGAAGAGGCTCCCAGGGAGCTGCATTAACAAGATGGAGGCAACAGGCGATACTGAGGCTTCCCACATTCGAAAGCATGCAAACACCACTTTCATGGTCTTATAAATCTAGTGCCTGGCAGAGGAGAGTGTACAACATTAATAGCATCGTCTAGATACTGGGCCAAAGGATTAAGGGCACATAGCAGAGTGGGAAAGGGCACTGAAGACTGAAGGAATGACAGTGCTGTCAGGTATTGGGATCTCCACTTGCGAGGAAAAGTATAGTTTTCATGCGGAGAGAGTGCTGCATAGGAGTGTGTGATCAGGTAAGCAACCACTGAACAAAAAAAGGACGGAAAGTGCACCACATGGTATGTGTATGAAAGTCAAATAAATGGCACCTCATTTAACACCTTGTGGTGCACAAATAAGTTCAGCACAATGTTATTGCAGTAGTGTGAATGAGTACTTGGTACCACATTATATCCCCAATACCAACCTTCTCCAGAGCCCCAGCCAGAATGTTCATAGCCTGCATCCTTGTCAAGTTCACTGCAGAGCTGTAACAAAACAAAAAAAATGTAAAGTATATTTATTATGTTTCTTTGGAAACCATACTTAGACCATTTGAAGTCACTGAGCTAGAACAATGGGTGATAGTAGTATAACAAGAATCTTCAGGAGGTTGGCAAATGCACCCCACACATGACCCTCCTGACAGATGTACTTTAACTGAATGCATTAAACAGGGGTTTGAACATCTTATGCAAAGTTTGCACGTTTGGCTTTCCATTAGAAGTGACTGAAGAATGGCTACTTACACACTTCGATCCCAAATGTATTCTTAACTTGTGCATAGAGCGCAGCAGACTTACCATTGTTTGCATTGCAACGCCACAGGGGAGATTTTTTCCCCCTCACTTGTCCTTGCGACACCCATACAAGAAGTGGGGTAGGCCATGGGTCATTATTGAAAACAGACAAAGCTACTAAAAGCATTTTTTTATTGAGTAAATCACTGCAAAAGGAACACCACTTCCTGTCCCGAAGGGAGAGAATCTCCACAACCAAGAGACCGCAGCAAGAGCCAGACTGAGGTGATATTTCCCACTGTAGTTAAAAAGTCCATTCAGGTCTTCCCTGTGACAAACTGCGGGGAGCTTTCCCTCCAAAACAAACAGTGTTGTCACCCTATGACAGGAAGTTGAAATAGGGCTGCTGGAGAGGTCAGCGGGATGTAGACTCTTACATGGGGCACTCCCGTCTGCCGTGCTTAGTGAAAGACATCATAGGATTAGAAGTGCTGACCATACTTATTACCCTCATATTTTATCCACACGGAGTTTCTCATCTAACATGATGAAAGTATGGCAGATGAAGAATGGCCTGGCCTACTATTCTTGCCCACGAAGTCCCCGTTTCCTCAATTGTCACCCAGGAGCAGCTAGAATTACCTTGGTTTGTCTGCTGTATGCTTCCTCTTCTCGGGGGTCCCACTGTCTTCAGGCCCTTGTTTCTTGGAGACCCTCATCCCTCCAGCTTTCACTAAAATAAATGAAAGATTTTGGTTTACATAAAAGTCGGCTAAAAGACAAATTCATAAAAGGCTGAACAGTTATTAGCCATCAGCATGTCTGGACTAGTTTATGGGTTGAGCGCACTGCTGTAGTGTATGGAGAGTTTTAGTGTACACATGGGCGCTCCCAATTACTTCCTCTTACAATGAATACAGGTAGACAAGTTTGATTGTCAAAGCAAGACTCCTGTGTGGATAGGCACAAATGGAAGCAACTTGTGTGGTGGCTCTGGAATTTGTTTAGCTTCAGTGTAAGCCAGGAAATGTTTGCTACCATCACAGCCTTTGCACACAGGCAAATTAAGGAAAAAAAAACCCACACAACACACAAAGTTCTATCAATCTGATCACCAAAATTTGAAGAAAAAATAAAGCATTGAGTTTTAGTAAAATTAGCATTGATTGATCCATTAGAACAGCCATCATTGTAGAACAGACGTGTTCAATAGATTTACTAGAACACCGATCAATCTCTGAACTCGGCCAGTCCTTAGGAAGAACAATTGTGATTGGATCATCAGTGACCAGAGTAAAATGGATTCACCCAGCAGAAGAAATGACAGCCGGCCTAATAACTGCTTTCTCAATGCCAAGGAATAAATATTAGTCTAACACAAAATTGATCCCTCACTGTATGTAAACATGAGACGTACAGACACCAATATGTGATGGGTACAGTATTTAACAAAAAATGTTCTTCTAGGAAATACTTTAGTAAAATGTTACAAACTGCTTCATACTAATCCCAACTGGCTAACTGATCATTGCATGGCAACTCCCCCTATACTCTGAAGGATTTCTTGTTTTATTTTACTTTGAGGTGAATGGGGTATTCACCAAGTAGAAACAATCAAATTTCCCTTTTACATAACTTAAGCAAGCTTCATATACATTTAACACAACTCCAGTCAAATCTTTCTTTAGTTTTGGACTTGGGAAGAGCGATTCTCTCCATTAATCTCTTGTGATCTGCGACCCTTTTTGGGGAGATTTCACCTTATCTTGGCATACACCAACACATGGCCAGAGGGCCAAAACGAGAGACAGCACTAGATTCCCTCATCCATGCTAAAGAGGGTGGACAGAAGAATCTCCCCTCCAGCTACTGTATTCTAACCGCTGACGCCCATGACTTTCAGAATACATGAACAGTGATTGGCGGCAGTCAATTGCTGACAGTTTTCCACCTGGCTCCTCCTTGGACAAAAGGTAGAGGGGGGGTATGGAAGACATGTGCCCTGGGTGACGCTTTAGAAGGGGTGCCATGTGCCACTGGGTGCACATGGATGCAGAACTCAGCCTCTGCCCCAGGTGACAGAATGTCTAGCTTCCACGGGGGGGGGGGGGAAGTGATGTTGCCAAGCCGGACCACCAGCATATCAAAATTTGTGGCCACTTGAGGAAACAGCTACATTTCAACCCATGTAGGGCCAGCTTTACTGCTTGCCTCAAGACAGTAGGACGAGAGATGGGTGGAGTGGCTGTCCTTAGGGCACAATGTTCGATCCCCACATTGTCAATCACTCCCTGTTCTAAGAGGGGTAATGGCAAAGCTCTCCAATGAGGTCGCAGACAGCCATAAAAACCTGACGGGCTCACTCCCTTCCCCAATGTAAAAACACACACGATCAGCTGGAATTGGGCTTTATGCAGGTAGAACTAAAACAAACAAGGGGGGGGGGGGCTCATATGCAAATGCCTTTACACACCCCTTTAATAATGCAGTACTAGTTTCAGCCTCTACAGACTAAAAGTGAACCTTGGGATCACAAAATACACTCATAGTTCTGGTTCTTCCTTTATGGATGTGGTGCAGCTGTATCTAGGCCATTCTGCCTGCTCATAACTGGTTCCAATTTTATAGTTGCATACAACTGTTTAAGTTCAATAATGCTTCTAAACCCT